ATAGTGTAAACATAAGTTGTTTTTTTTTTTTTTTGAGAGGGAGTTTTGCTCTTGTTACCCAGGCTGGAGTGCAATGGCGCGATCTCGGCTCATTGCAACCTCCGTCTCCTGGGTTCAGGCAATTCTCCTGCCTCAGCCTCCTGAGTATCTGGGATTACAGGCACGCGCCATCTTGCCCAGCTAATTTTTTGTATTTTGAGTAGAGACGGGGTTTCCCCATGTTGACCCAGATGGTCCCGATCTCTTGACCTCGTGATCCACCCGCCTCAGCCTCCCAAAGTGCTGGGATTACAGGCGTGAGCCACAGCACCCGGCCAACATAACTTTTATATGCAATGAAAAACTAAATTTATTCTTGTGACTCACTTTATTGCAATATTTGCTATATTCTGATGCTATGAAACTAAACCTACAGGATCTGAGAGTCCAAAAACAGTCCTTCATACTATTAACAGATCAATTGATTTTAAACAAACATCCCAATGTATTTTAATGAAATAGAATAGTTTTTTCAACAAATGTTACTAGAACTGTATATACATATATAAAAAGATAAACCTCAAAAGTTTTATCACACCATATAAAGAAATAAACTGAAAATAAGTTGTACCTGTAAACAAAAGCTAAAATCATAAAACATATAAAAGAAAATATAGGGAAAAATCTGAACGATCTTCTAAAATATTAGGCAAATATTTCTTTGTTAGAGAAAAATACAAAAAGCACAAATCAAAACAGAAAAAAGTGATAAATTATATTTTATGAAAATAACCCTTGCTCTTCAAAACACAGAGCGGAAATGAGGAAATAATATGTATGGTACATATGTAATATGTATACATATGATTAAAGACTTATAAACAGTATATGTAAAAAAATAAAATAAAAATAAAAACTCTAAGGATTCAATAAAACCAAAAATAGAAAATCAATTCTATCAAATATTTGAACAGACACTTTCCTCAAAATATATTGAAATAAATTCAAAAAAGATGCTTAACATCATTCTTGATCAAGAAAACATAAATTAAAACTACAATTGGAAAGCGCAATACAACAGTATAATGGCTAAAATTAAAGAGACCAACATAATACCAAGTGTTAGCAAGGATGTGGAGCAACTGGAATTCCTATGTATTGATATTGAGAGTATAAAATTGCACAACATTTTGGAAAACAACCTGGACATATATTATATAGCTAAACATACACTAAACATTCATTCCAACAATTCTACTCCTAGGTATTAACTGCCCAAAAATTAAAATATTTGTCCACACAAATACTTATTTTTAAGTGTTCATAACATTTTAAAAGGAAAGAGACATTGAAGAGGATACAAAGGACAGTCTTGCTTTACCTACACACTCCTCACTCAATCCCAGGCAGTGCAGCACGAAGAAAGATTCTGTGTGCTTGAGGGCGGGAGAGCACACTGAGTGTGAATTTTTGTATTGAAACTTAGTGCTGCCCTGTCACAATAGAATGCAGCAAAGGGCAGAATTCTACTGGTGCCCATTAGAGTGCTACATCAACACTCCCCCAACTCCAGGCAGTGCAGCCTGTGGGAAAGACTCCTTCTACTTGAAGAATGGAGAAGAAATATTACAGAAGACTTTTTCTTGCAAGCTGGATGCCAGTTTAACCACTGTAAAATAAAATACCAGGGAGATTTCTGAAGCCCCCAATTTCAGGCCTTTGTCCCCCAATGGCATTTCTAGACCCATATAGGCCAGATGGGAATCTGCTACCCCAATGGGATGAACAGAGGGAACATTTAGACCTGCCCAGAGACAGATGAGAATCCTGTACCCCAGCAAGAGATATCCAAGTCCTGGCTGGCCTCACTACAGGCTGATTAAAGTGGTTTGGGACTCCAAATAAATTTGTGTGGCAGTCAGGCCACAAGGACTACAGTCCTTCGGTAAGCCCTAGTGCTAAGGCAGAGGACTTGCAGTGCCAATGACCAACTGTAGTGGCCATTAGAGTGCTACGTCAACATTCCCCCAACTCCAGGCAGTGCAGCCTGGGGAAAGACTCCTTCTACTTGAAGAATGGAGAAGAAATATTACAGAAGACTTTTTCTTACAAGCTGGATGCCAATTTAACCACTGTAAAATAAAATACCAAGCAGATTTCTGAAGCCCCCAATTTCAGGCCTTTGTCCCCCAAAGGTATTTCTAGACCCATATAGGCCAGATGGGAATCTGCTACCCCAATGGGATGAAACCAGTCCCAGCAGGATTGGCCACATCCTGAGTAAGGTGACCTAGAACCTTGAATAAACATCAGCAGCACCCAAGAAGTAATGGCCATGGGCCTTGGGTAAGCCCCAGTACTGTACTGGTCAGGAAGAACATAAGCTTCAGGTGACCCATCATGGTGCCAGCTGTGGTGGTCATGGGAGTGCCTGCTCCACCCCTCCCCCAATTCCAGGCAGCCAAGTGTGGAAAGATACTCCTTTTGATTAGGGGAAACAGAAGAAAGAGAGAAAGAGACTTCAACTGGTAACCCAGAGAATGCTCTCATAACTTCCCTAAGTCCAACAAGGCTGATTATCTAGGAGTCTCCAAGAGTTGCAGCATTCCTGGGCTTAGGAATAAAACAGCTAGAGCTGAACTAGCAGCAGTGACCACAGGCTGAGGCCATGACATTCATTCCCCTTTGAATTCATGGAAAGCCCTCTCAAGAAGGATGGGTACAAACAGGCTCAGCCTGCAAAGATTGGAATAAATGCCTACCTCTTCAATACTCAGGCATTAATGAACATCCACAAGTATCAAGAACATCCAGAAAGACATGACTTCACCAAAGAAACTAAATAAGTCATCAGTGACCAATCCTGGAGTAACAGAGATAGGTAACCTCTCAGGCAGGGAAATGTAATATAAATATATTAATATAAATTGGGTACACTCAACTGTAGACCATCCATGTATAAAAAGCAGATATTAACAGAGCTACAGAGAGAGACAGATCTCAATATAGTAACAGCTGGAGACTTCGACACCCCATTTTCTGTATTGCATGGATCATTTAAACAAAAAATCAACAAAGAATCATTAGATTGTTTTCTACACTATAAACCAAAGGAATCTAATAAAGATTTACATAACATTCCATCCAATAGCTGTGGAATCTGCATTCTTCTTTTTAGAACATGGAACACTCTCAAGGATATAGCCTACCTTAGGCCACAAAATAAGCCTAAAAAATTCAAGATAATTAAAATTATACTAAGTATATTTTCTGACCACAATGGAATAAAACTAGGTATCAATAACAAGATCAACTCTGTAAGTTATAAAAATATAAATATTGAATAATATTCTCCTGAATGACCACCGTGTCAATGAAGAAATTCAAAAAGATATTTCAAAATTGCTTTAAAAAATCAAAGTAGAAAAACAACATACCAAAACCTGTGGGATACAGCAAAAGAAGTATTAAGAGGCAAGTTGATAGCAATAAATGCCTACATCACAAAAGTTAAAAAAAAAAAAACTTCAAATAAATAACCTAACTATGTGATATGGTTTGGCCATGTCTCCACCCAAAATCTCATCTTAAATTGTAATCAAAATTGTAATCCCATGTGTTGGGGGAGGGACCTAACGGTAGGTCATTGGATCATGGGGGCAGTTCCCTCATACTATTCTCATGATAGTGAGTGAGCTCTCATGAGATCTGATGGTTTTATAAGTGGCTATGAGAAATAAATGTTTTGTTTTGTTTTGAGACAGAGTTTTGCTCTTGTTACCCAGGCTGGAGTACAATGGCGTGATCTCGGCTCACTGCAACCTCCATCTTCTGGGTTCAAGCAATTCTCCTGCCTCAGCCTCCCGAGTAGCTGGGACTACAGGCATGCACCACCATGCCCAGCTCATTTTTGTATTTTTAGTAGAGACGGGGTTTCACCATGTTGACCAGGATGGTCTCTATCTCTTGACCTCGTGATCCACCCTCCTCAGCCTCCCGAAGTGCTGGGATTATAGGCGTGAGCCACCGCACCTGGCCAATATTTGTTTTTTATAAGCCACATCATTTATGGTATTTCATTGTAGCAGCCCAAATGAACTAAAACAACATCATTTATAAATATTATACCCAATACACCAAAAATTATCTAGAAGCTTTTAATTTTCCTCTTGTGACTTACAGGTGAAAGACAAAGATCATATATGTTAACATTGGCTTTACATTTAAAGATCTGAGATTGTTAAATATTAGGATATATAGATTAAATAAAACTCAGATCATTCATACCTGATAAATTTAAACTCTCATAATCAACTCGTCACTTCCTTCCCTTCCTAACTTCATCTGGGAGGCATTCAGGATCCCCCAAGTGAAACCTTCTCACTTTGTCTGTTCCCACATGAGATATTTTCTTCTTCTCTTGAGTTTTAAGGCCAACTGATACCATAGACAACCACAGGAACAGCTCAATGTTCAGAGACTCAGAGAAGGCAACTCACCCATTCTGTAGTCCATTTAGGTGGTTTACGACAAATAAAGAGTTACTGCCCAGTTTCTATGTGCTCTCCCCTGGGGACAGGCTTCTGGTCAACTAATAGCACAGTAGAAAAAACCCAGTAGGTAGCTCAAAAAATACTTGTTCTGGGGGCATGTGGCACTAAAATGAAAAGTTGGCTAGACAAGTCTAAATGAAAAGTTGGCTAGACAAGTAATTTTGAAGTCAGAGTTTTAACCTACAGAAAACAAATTATCCCATGCAAATGGCATTTGCTAATCAGTTATTACTCTGTGATTCCTGCAAGTGACAGCGGAAAGAGCTCCTGCTGGAAACGAACCATTAGTTGGAGCCAGAATTATGTGATGCTGAATTTAATAAAACTGATTTTCTTGTAACTTTAATTTCTGTACTTTTCATGATCTCTGAGCTCTCCCAAATTATTGAGGCTTTACAAAAAAGCAGATGTCTGTTCTATGTATCAGCTTTCTGAGATTTATGAAAAAGATCTTTGTGTTTCTCTTACCGAAAATGATGCTCCATCGACCCTTCATAGCTGAAGTTCCTGCACCTTGATCCAGTGTTACAAAGAAGGCTTTGAACAAAGGGGATAATGCCACGGCTGGGCAGATCTCGGGGCTGCAAATAACCTAGGTAAAGATACAAGGAAGAAATGAGTTCATATACCTGCTACCACAGATGGAATCCCTGTTGAGTTAGAATTGTAATATATAACATTGGATTATTATATTAATTTAAAGGACCTCTAAGGACTCTGACCAAAAAAATAAATAAATAAAATGAAAACCCTTTATATCTAACACCTTTCTTCCAGAGTCAGTATTCATGCTTCAAGCTGCAGGATTTGCAAGCTTCCCCACTCACAGAATGAAATACCCCTGATTCACAGCCAAGCTTCCAGATGTGGCTCTCTGCAAACAAGCTGTGGAGAGGAAGAATAAGAAGGATGCTTCTTCTTATATCATATAAAAATTTAGGAGTTTTTGCTTTTGGCAAAAAATTCAAGCTTAATGCAAATTGAATTCTTAATGTTTAAACACAGTTGTTAAATATCATATAATACAAAAATTTTTCTACACTAAATAGGACTTTTCAGGACAAACGTCACTACAAAAAGCCACCTCTGTGAATAACATGCTGTTTACACATCCCCAACCATATCTTCTCTTCACACCACCAGGAGGGTGGGAGTAGTGGGGGTGCTGATGGCTACAGCAACTTGAAAGTTACGATTACCAGCCGGGCACAGTGGCTCATGCCTGTAATCCCAAAACTTTGGGAGGCCAAGGCAGGTGGATCATCTGAGATCAGGAGTTCAAGACCAGCCTGGCCAACATGGTGAAACCCTATCTCTACTAAAAAAAAATTAAAAAATTAGCTGGGCATGGTGGCGGGTACCTGTAATCCCAGCTACTCAGGAGGCTGAGGCAGAAGAATCACTTGAACCCAGGAGGCAGAGGTTGCAGTGAGCCGAGATGGTGCCATTGCACTCCAGCCTGAGTGACAAGAGCAAAACTCAGTCTCAAAAAAATAAAAAGGAAGGAAGGAAGGAGGGAAGGAAGGAAGGAAGGAAGGAAGGAAGGAAGGAAGGAAGGAAGGAAGGAAGGAAGGAAGGAAGGAAGGAAGGAAGGAAGTTACGATTACCATCGTAATCTATTACAATGTAGCTCATGAAACCCTGCTTGACAGCCTTACTCCTCACCTCTACTTTGGTCAGGGAGATGATCCAGGACTTAGAGACCCACTATGCCCAGCATTCAGCACAGTGCTTCTCACATAGAAGATATTCACTAAATGTCTGATGAATGAAAAATACATGAATAGGCTTTTAGCTAAGGGGACAAATTGGGTTATTAGCAGACAAATGGCTCAGTGCTCTAGAATAACAGACCATAAAAGGATTTGGAGCTATATCCCAGCTAGCTATAAAAGGTGTATTTCCCTAGCATAATTTCTGTGTCCTGTTTTTCTCAGGAACACATCAGGAATGGAAGTAACCATGGTGAGGTGTTCAGTGAATGAGAATTTGAGGATGCTAGTTTGGAATACAGTGTGTCTCCAAGATTAAAGATTTGGCTTGGTATCATTGGGCCACCTTGTAATACAAGTAACCAGGTATGAACATCCTGGACATCTCATTGAATGCAATTAAAAATACGTTTTACAGTGAGGATGCTGAGAATCACAGGTATGTCTATCCCCAAATCACACATAAACCCAAGAATGACTCTAGGTCAAATGTTCATTCCACCGCACATCATCACCTCCCCAGGGAGCAGGCCTGGAACAGAGATGCCTGTCCAGCACCCCAGGATTGCCAGAGCCCATCTGAAACCTGGAGCACTTTCCCAGATCTCTTCGGGATCCCTGACCACTTCTTGTTTTTCTCTTTCTGGTCCCTGAAAGCAGGAACACAAAGGCAGTGCTGCCCCGACAGCAGTTTTCACATTCCTGTGTAGCTGGAGGAAGCTGCAGTGCCCTGGGCTTGTGCGTGTCCACCTGCATGTGCAACCTGCCCAAACCATAGGTGATCGCAAGCCTAACTTCGCCAGCACAAACAGAATTGTACTGGGACAGACAGATAAATAAAGCTTCTCAAGCTTCCCTGTTTAATCTCTCAAGGTACTTAACAGGAAATTTTACTTTCCTATGCAAATAATCTTAACTTTGGAAGATTATTTCTTCTTAGTGAAAATACCCATATATGCTATCTCAGGCTTCATTCTAAAATTGTAAGATCCACATAACCTTTTCTAAGGTTCTTCTCAGTCACAGCACAAGAAGGGGGGCAGCTCTTCCTGTAACAAGAAAGGCGCAGAACAGCTTCTACATGGTGGTGACTTCAGGGGTCAGCAACAGTGCCCAGATAGTGATAGAAGTGCATTTCCTTGGCATGACTTCCATGTCCCATCTTTCCATGAACACATCAGGAATAATGGTGGCCCCATAGAGGGTGATCAATGAATCAGAGATTGAAGACTTCAGCCCAAATGCTCATTTTATTATGACCTTATCTGAAACAATGGCTCCTCCATGCTCTTTGAGAGTTCAGCATTCTCAACATCATACAAAGCCTTTTATTTATTTGGCCCTGCTTACTCCTCCAGCACATCTCTGCCTTTTGGCTCCACTTTAGGCTTTTGTCCATGCTGTCTGCCCTGCTTCAACAATTTCTCCCCTGAATTCCCTTGTTCTGACAAAGCTGCACACTGCCTCAAAAGGCTTTCCTTAGAATGGACTGGCCACCCCTCCTGTGTGTTCACATGGCTCCCTGTATAAAACCCCATCGTAGCAATTTTCCCACTGCATTGTAATAGTGTGGCCCTACAGTGAGCTCTGTAAAGGCAGAAAAAAATGCCTTGTACACCATTTTACTCTCAGCAAAGCCTGAAACACAAAGGCACTCAATACATATTTATCAGATAAGTAAATAATAAAGTAGGACCACTGAAAAGCTTTTCAGCTTTTCCTAAATAATATTTTACTCACATAGTTTCACATTTTTTTCATTCTGCAACACACAACAGAATCCCCAAACAACAAAGACAAACTGATAGGAATGGTCTTAATACATGTAAAACTTAAATATAACTGACATACTATTTTGGGTAAATCCCAACACTTAATTCCTTATTCCTTATTAATGTAATGTTTACAGAGTCAATCACATTATAGATATTTTAAGTGGTATAGCCTGATAGAGACAAAGCAAACCATTATTTCTCAAAGAGTGATGTTGTTAAGGTTTCAAACCAGAGAAACAAAATGGTCCATCTGACCATTTTCCTGAAGCAGAGGAAGTTACCAGTAATAGTTTATCAGAGCATCATCCTCACAATTGTCAACACCTTCACAGTAATCACTATCATCACCATCATCTCCATTATCATCATAATTTCCATCATTACTATCTTCTCCATTATCATAACTATCATCACTATCATCTCCATCATCATCACGATTATTACCATTATCTTCATCATAATCATCCTCATCACTGTTATCATCTTCAGCATCATCATCACCATCATCACTACCATCATCTCCATCATTATCACCACTATGAATATTGTCATCTCCATCATCATCACCATAGTTATTATTATCTCCATTATTATCACCAACCATCATCACTATCTTCACCATCTCCATCATCACCATCAACACTATCATCTTCATCACCATCTCTATCATTACCAACATCACTATCATCATCTTCCTCATCATCTCCATCATCACCATCATTACTATCATCTTCATCATCTCCATTATCATCATCACCATCATCACTCTCATCTCAATCATCATCACCACCATCATTATTAAAATTTCCATTATCATCACCATCACCATCACCATTATTATTATCTCCATCATAAGGACTCTCATCACTATCATCTTCAGTCATCACCTTCATCATCTCCATCATTATCACCATTGTCACTATTTTCCCCAACATTATCTCCATAATCATTATCATTACTATCATCTCTATTATCATTACCATCATCACTATCATCTCCATCATCACTGTCATCACTATCATCTCCATCATCATCACTGTCATCACTATCATCTCCATCATCATCACTGTCATCACTATCATCTCCATTATCATCACTGTCATCACTATCATCTCCATCATCATCACTGTCATCACTATCATCTCCATCATCATCACTGTCATCACTATCATCTCCATCATCACTGTCATCACTATCATCTCCATCATCATCACTGTCATCACTATCATCTCCATCATCATCACTGTCATCACTATCATCTCCATTATCATCACTGTCATCACTATCATCTCCATCATCATCACTGTCATCACTATCATCTCCATCATTATCACTGTCATCACTATCATCTCCATTATCACTGTCATCACTATCATCTCCATTATCACTGTCATCACTATCATCTCCATTATCATCACTGTCATCACTATCATCTCCATCAACATCACTGTCATCACTATCATCTCCATCATCATCACTGTCATCACTATCATCTCCATCATCATCACTGTCATCACTATCATCTCCATCATTATCACTGTCATCACTATCATCTCCATTATCATCACTGTCATCACTATCATCTTCATCATCACCTTCATTGCTACCATCTTCATCACCTTCACTGCCATCACCACTATCATTATTTCCATCACCATTATAACTATTATCACCATCATTGTCATTTCTATCATCATCACCATCTCTATCATCACCATCATATCATCAGCATCATTATTTTCTTACCACCATCATCGTTACTATCAGTATCATGTTGATAAACTATGAAATGCATCTCCCACTTTTACTTCTTCTTCTACTCTTTCTATATTTATAATGGCTATATACTTATGCCCAAATTGTGTCAGTTTTAATTGGAAGAATAAATCTATCTGCTAGATTGAGTGAACCTGTGTGAATGTCATTCTTAAGAGACAAAACCTAAGTCGTGGCTTATTGGTATACTCCAGATATGTTGTTATTGTCATAATGAAACCCTGTCTATTCATTCCACTGAACATTCAGAGTTTACTTTAAAAAAGAGAGAAAGAGTGCTACGATTTTTTTCTCTGAAGGTTAATTTAAAAGGATATTTAAAATGAAACTTACAAATGTCTCTGTGTCTGGGAGGTTCTTGAAAACGAAGTACTGTCAGAATTATAAACAGGATACAAGGCCAGAAGAATTCAGCAAGGAAAAGAACCTAGAAAATTTTTTCAAAAAAAAAATACCACTTGAATAAATTGTAAAGTATTACAATATTTTCATCTCTTAAAGGAGGTCATCGTAATTCCTGCTATATGTCTCCGAACAATCATTTGGGACAGGAGCCCGCAGAGACAGCCTAGTTTATTAATCATTGCATCCCGATCTGTGACTGTGTCATCTCCTTGTTCTTTTCCCACCAGACCTAACTTTTACTTCTTTCCTTTTTCTGCACATTTTATTTACTGCAGAACTTATGACATTAGAGAAATTAAAGAAATAAATAACTTCCCCCATATTTCCCACACTTCAAGACAACAATTATGTTTATTTTTCTAATTTCTTTAACATTTCTGACGTTTTTACCCAAACAGATATTTTGCTGGCTTTGGTGGTAGCCCCAATTCTCATTTGCCTTCATTTTATGCATATTTTTCAATCTTGCCACAAGAGGGTCATAACTATCAGCTTACTTGCTGTATAACATTCTTACCAAATGAATATCCCATAACTCACACATTCTTCTATTAAGGAACAGTTTGTGTATACATAATTTTTTATTTGAATTATTTTCTTAAGATTAGAACAAACTCCAAAACTAAGATTACTGGAGTAAAATCTCTTGACACAGACTACATAAGAACTACCCCAAAAGATTGCGATAATTTTTAAAACCTTAAATTTTCAAAGTTAAAAGCAAAGGAACTGCCATTGATACACGGAATTCAATCATTTGAGAAGAAAAAAATATATACCACCTATAAGGTATAGCCCCCCAAATTAATAGAAAAGCCTCAATTATCATAAAATTAATTTTACTGCCATCATTATTCACTTGTTTTATGGTAGATAATCTTGTATTGAATTCAGATGACATCACTTTACAAATACAAAAGTTAATAGCCAGATAAAAAATAGGCAAGCCACTGAATAAACGCACAAACAAAAACCTAAAATTCTGCAAGTTAACACTGCTTCATCAAACACCAAAGAGGATGACTCACTGTTTCAGACTCCCAGGTATAATGCTTTGAACTAAAATGAACTTCTGGTCACTTTGATTCCTTTTATTCTTTAAACTGCCGTGGTCATATCCCATTGCAGTAACCCTTCCCTGTAAGCAGATCTAAATGTCACCCAGATGAGTGGCCTAAAGCCATCAAGACAAAATACAGGCAGAAAAGAGGTTTTCTGTCCCTGGTATAATTAAGGAAGAAAAGAAATCAACCTCGTTAGCCAGGCATGGTGGCTCACACCAGTAATCCCAACACTTTGGGAGGCCAAGGTGGGTGGATCACGTGAGGTCAGGAGTTCGGGAACAGCCTGGCCAACATGGTGAAACCTTGTCTCTACCAAAAATACAAAAAAAATTAGCAAGGCATGGTGGCACACACTTGTAATACCAGCTACTCAGGAAGCTGAGACAAGAGAATCACTTGAACCTGGGAGGTGGAAGTTACAGTGACCCAAGATAACACCACACTGCACCCCAGCCTGGCAACAAGAGAAAGATGCCGTCTCAAAAAGAAACTTTTTTAATTAAAAATAAATCAATCTCTTTGAAATAGTCCATGAGGAAGTATTTCTTGTGTCAAAAAGTGCATCATGATAAAAAGTTATCTGACCTAGTCCTGAAACACAGTATCACACATTCTGGTAACAAAGAAAATGCCTGCAGATGGCCCTCTAGTTCAAGGGACCACAATTAAACTATAAAGAAAGGTCAAGGACACTCAAGAGATCACTATTTATTTAAATCATTTTAGTCATTCTCTGTAACAAATTAATAAGTTACTGGAGTACTGGGTTAGGGAGGTGGTAGGGGAAGATTCTATCGTTAATTCTGACTGAATATGAATATGCAAAATAAAAACCATACCTCATATTAAATAACTTGATAGCATTAAGAAGAATAAACATACAATTTTCTTGGGTTTTTTCTTCTTTTTCATTCTCTCCTATAGGATAAGTTATCTATTTACAAAATACATGTACATGAAAACTAATGTTTTAGAACCAATTTTCCATATCAACACTTATCCATATCAACACTACCTTGCTACTTTTAAAGACTACATAATATTACACTGTAGGATTTAACTGATTTAACCAATCACTTCATCATGAAAATGTGCATGCTTTTCTCTTTGGGGTCAGTATTACCATGAGGTATTTTTTACATATTTGGCTGACTTTCGTAAGTAGATCCATGAGGTACCATTGATAAATAGGATTACTGCACTAAAATGTATATGATTTTTAATGTGGATTTTTAATTTGGATAGATATAACCAAAATGCCCTCATTAAAAACTAAACCAATTATCATTTACTCTGATTATACTCTCAGTAGCACCTGGGATTAACAAACTTAATTTTTTGTCAAGTCAATATGCAAAACCTAATGATAACTTCAATCGTTAAGATCAAACGTTTTTCATAAGTTGAGCATATAATTCCTTGCCTATTAACTCTCTATCCTTCCAGTTGCCTATTTTTCTTTTAAGTTATTCTTTATTTTTGCCGACTTATAAAGCATCATTTTCTATTTAATTTTTAATTAAAGAATTCCGCCCTTTCATGGCTTATGGTATTACAAATATTTTCTCCAATTTTGAATTTGCCCTTTTATTTTAGACAATATAAAGATTTTATTTATTGTCTAAATAATCTAAAATCAAAAATATTTATCAGTCCAGGCTTAAAAATCAACATCCAATCTCTAGTTTCAAATGAAAATAATATTCGAAGAAAATAAAACCCTGAAGCTTATTGTTGAGAAGTTTCTCTAAGGGTCTTGAAATAATAACAGAATTCCAATTAAAGCTAAAAAGCAGAATATCTCAAAATGCTTTATTGACAAGCTGGTCACTGACCCTTCTGAAAAGCACAAGTAAAAAAAAAAAAAAAAAAAAAAAAAATCTTTGATTGTTTGGAGATTGAAGTTGCTCCATTCAAGAGAAAAGTAGCCAGACTCCAGTTCTGCTGTGTCACTGTCCATTGTGCACAAGTGAATCACTCTTTCATGAGAACATTTCTCTGCAGGGGTGCAAAGATAGCCGTCCATTTCTGATCACGTTTTTATGTCACGTTTCTCTTCTTATGTGTCATTATTATCATTGAACCTGGCTTAACATTTTAAATCGTATCCCTGTTAAATAGGAATGCTGTCTGATTAATGTTAGGGCTTCGCGGTATCTCCCACATTCCGGACCCTCCAGTGCCGACTTCTTAACACCAGGAAGTGACCCAGGCAGAAGCAGAAACTGGCATTTCTGCTGTCCAAATGCAATGGTGCTCCTCTCAAGAAAAAATAATCGTCTGGTAAACCTATTAGCAGTTAACAAAACAATGCCCCCACTACCAAAACTACTGCAAAGCCCTCCTACTGATCCAGGAGGGAAGCTCCAGCCTGCAGAGGGTGCAAGTGCTCAGTCCTGTACTCTGGAGCTTCCCATCCCCAAGGTGCTTCTCACCAAGAATTTCATGGATGCCCAGATCCCTGTCCCACTCTCATTCCTCTCACCCTGTGGCCCAAGCATAAATATAAACCTTTCCATGATTCTGTCAGCACAGCTGAGCCACAATGGCCTTTGGGAAGACATGAACAATATGTACAGATAAACATGTACACAACAAGAACTCCTGGGTAAAATAATACATTTAAATTTCCTCACAGAATTTTCCTTTTTCCAGACAAAATGGGCTGTGCACAGGGAGAGAAAACAAAATAAATCAGAGGAGGCAGGAATAAACTTGCATTTGCCTAATACAAAAAAAGCTACCAAAATGTAAAAAAAAAAAGTTTCTAGAGTAGATCAAATAAGCCACCATGCCTCAACCCCAACACAGGCTGACAATCTCTAAAGTCATAACCATGTCCCCTCACAATCCTGGTGACTATCCCCAATACCCACATCCATGGAGATGAGCACCTCAAAGGAGTCTCCTTATCTCCTGCTTCTGACAGAGGAGTTGGAGAAACTGCTGCTGAGAATGATCAAATAAACAAGGAAAGTGAACAATGAGGCTGACTCTTCTGGAGGCCTCCAGGACTACATACAAAAATGTGAAAAGAATCCAAAGCTGGAGAGCAACTTCCACGACTAGATGAACTAAACATTACATAAAACGTTTGACAGTTTTTCACAGGAGAGCACGGAGCTCAACTAGTCTAATAAAATTCTATTGCATCTTAGATGATTTCCCTCACTCTTCTCCATGGCCCTCCTGACCATTTCCAATCTTCTCCTTTTATTGATGATAACAGCATACAGGATATGCTCAGGGATCACTCTAGATATTAAGGAGAAATAAAACTGGTCCCAGGTTTATTGAAAAGAGAGTCAAGAACAAATATAATACTTGGGCAGAGCTCCACAAGTATGAGTGGTAATAAAACAAAGAGCACAGCAGCTATCTAAACATTTAGAAGGAAACAAACCAACAAAAAAAGAAAAAGCGAACTAAAGAAAGTCATAAAGCATCCCTGGAAAAGAAACAACTCAAATAAAATGAAGAATTTCTTTACAAATGCCTCATCAAGAAGAACATTTTAATAAGGACAAATATCAGAAAACAAGGGTTCAGAGAAAAGACATAAATAAATAAGTGAAAAAAGAAATTATGGATCTAAGGAAAAAACACACAAAAGAATCATCACTGTGGAATTTTAAATGATTTAGAAACCATAAAAAGAAAATACATACTAGTTAAATTTCAATTTTTTGAATGAGAAACAGCTTACAATAACAACAATTATTTTCAAAAACAATTTAAAGGCAAAAATATTAAGACACAAAAGCTAATATATTTGAAAAACAAAGACTATGCAACATAAGGAAAACTGGCATCCCCAAAGTAAAGAACCCAACAAATGGAACAAAATATTTTTTGAGGATATTCCTCAGAGATATAAGATAGGAGAATTTCCAGGAAAAAGAGAAAATTTCATCTCCTGACTAAGAGAGTATACTGCGTTTCAGAAAAAATAAAATCA